CCCCGGTCCGGCGCCTCGCCGCTCCCCCCGCCCGGCCCCGCCGGCCGAGCGACCCGGTTGCCTTCGCGCCTGGCGTTGGAAACCCTCCCTCCAGCAAACCCCGAGCGGGTCCGAGAGAAACGCAGCGGCCCGTCCCGCCGCCTTCGGGCCCGAGGCGCCGGTCGGGTGAAGGAGCCGAGCCCCCCGGAGCGGAGAGGAGCGGAGCCGAGCCCGGAGGTGCGGCGGGGGGTGGCGGTTTAATTGGCAAGAGCCCTTCAGAAAATGAGACCGCTGGAGCGGCAGCTCTAGTGAATTACTGAGGGCTGCTTGTAGAGCAGGTGCAGGAAATTAAATGATAATGTTATCTGAACGTGTATTCACTTCGCTGCTGCCGGGGAGGTTGGAAAAGTTAATGACGGTGTGGTCGCCGTCAGTACGGGTGACTGACAGAATAGCTCTGATGATGAATAAGGTGCCTTGCGAAAATAACTGTAAGAATTGCATCCTAGGTATGCCGTTTGGTTTTCTTACAGAAGATGCGATTAGAAAAATATCTGTCGTTTTCTCCGTTTCATTAAATTCACGTGTAGCTGTACGTTGCAGTCGGCTTAGAAGAAAAACTGATGCTGTCTTTAGAGGACAAAAGACACCTTGTTCAAGCCAGACTGTATTTTTGTGAGATTTAAACTGTGAACTCAATACAGGCTGCTCTAGGCACTTGCGTATTTTGCAAGGCAGAGAAATACCGTGTTTGGGGGGGGTTTTGCACTTAAACAATTGCGTGTTGTCCTTCTTCGCTTTGAAGACTACTTCGGCAGTCACTGGCAGTGTTGTGACACCAAGCAGTTTAGCTAATACATTTAAAATTGAAAACCTGGGAGAAAATCAAAGAAAACTAGTTGTCGCTAATGAAATGAAAATTTAGTGCCTTTACAACTAATACCTCTGAGTTAATATTTCTAATGTGTTACTTCTGAGTTTAATAAAGAACTAAAGGAGTATGTTTGTCATTTATTTCTAAATTTACACAGGTCTCTTTTTGTAGCCCTTTATAACAGATAAATGATACACTTTGCATGTGACTAGCGACTTCCTCTTTTCTTTACAGTTAAGAAATTCTTGTTTGTAGCTTTCTGATGGGGTGAGGGGGAAAGGATAAAATGACATTGTTCTGAATATGATTATTTTCTGTTTCAGATTTATAGCTGATTGTTCACATGTGTCCAGGGGGAGATGATGTACATTGGATCCTGCATAGTTCGGCTTTGTATGGCAGTCTTCCTCCTCCTTCCTGTTTCTACTTCTGTGGCTGTCAGTGACCAGACAGGTACTTCCATTTGTCTCGCCCATCACAGACCAAAGGCATAAATCTCATGACTGAACAAATTTGAACAAATAATGAATGTACATGGAAAATAAGCAGTGTGAGCAGATAAAATTATATGAGACTTTTTTAATCTCTTTTTTTAACAAGTCTAAGTCTGAAGAAGTTCCAAAGCAGCCTTTCTGTTTCTTGTGCTTGGGATTCATGTTTGGAAGCAGCTGTAGTTCCTAGGAGTTTTGTTTTGTATTTTTTCAACTTACCATACGAAACAAGATTCTAAATCAGATCTTGCAAAACTTTTGTGAACAAAATTACGTGGCTTTATTAGAGCGTATCGGTGACCACATTGACCTAAACAGCCTAATGCTCATGTTAACCTCACCTAAACTTAATCCCCTGACAGGTTGTACATTTCACAGATGCAGAGTTAGAAAAAACCTTGTGCCTAAGAAGACGGGGAAAGGAATATAGTGGTATTGTTTAATCTAGAAGCTGTTACCCTTCTGCAAATTTTCTCATACTTCTCTGTTTTCTTCTTTCTCTTATTGGCCACGTGTTATCTAGCTCTCTCACTTAAACTCTGCATTGACTCTCCAGAGTATGGTAAATTCTGTCATAAAGGCACGTCACGTGTGCTTGTAGAATAAGTAATTGTCAGTTTTCTAGAATTGCTCAGCCTCAACACATACTTCAACTTTCTAGAACTTTCCTACAATTATGAGCAAGGAGAACATACTTGTTGCTATTTAAATAGAAATACTGTTCTTTTTTTTTTTTTGAAAATGAAATTTATTATTAGTAATGCTGTTTTTCCAGAAACCTGATGAAAGATAATAGATGCTGTACATATACAACGACTTTGAACAACATATACAACACATTTGAAACTCAGACCCCAAAAATTTAAAAAGTCAATGACTAGCATAATAATCCTTTTACTTCTCCTGGAAACAATAAATAGTAACATTTAATAAATAATAAGTGTAATGTGTGGGCTCTAAGGTAAGAATAATGCGTTGTGAAGAGTCTGAATTTAAATCAAAGACTTTTTGGCCTTATATTTTTAGGGCAGCAAGGCTAAGTGCTCTACTGATGAATTATTCTTAACCCCTGTGAGACAGTGAGCCTACATCATAGCTGTGCAATTATTCTCCTCAGCTGTCTGAGAGAAGCAGAATGGGTTGCCTTCTCAGTCATTACTAGCTGGTGGATTGTATAAGGGAAGTTTTAAAAGTGCTAAAAGGGTGTGAGTGCAGAAGGTTCCCTAATAATATAAATTAATAAATTGAAACTTGAAAAATTTTAAAACAAAATGTCCAGGAAGCATTGTCTCTTTTTATTTTTTTTTTTTTTTCCCTAATGAAAAGATGTTTTAGTAAAAGGTGGACCAGTCATAGAAGATGTGACAGATACACTGAACTGCTAATAAACGGTGTATCTGAACTGTATATTATATTCTGTTAGAAGTTTGTGGCTAGGCAGCCAGCAGGGAAGCTGCAGTTTTCCTTAACCTGATTGCCACAAATGGATCAAATATGGGTCAAATTGAACCGCTGGAAAGAATAGGAGAGATTGAACCTCTCCTGAGAATAACTGATGGCGTGCAATTGAAAAAGGCTTCTGCAGTTTGAGGTGATACAGGCAGATGGTGAGAAATAACAAGTAGATAGCTGCCAGATTGAGCTGCTCTGCCGACAGCAGAGAATAGGCTCAGAGTGAAGCCTCAAGTTGATAACAGGAAAGAGATTCTTTTAGAGACTGAAGGGATGGTTACTGTCCGAAAAAGAAATACAAATTATAGACCAGAAAGCAGGCGCTGAGAAAGAACAGACCCTGCGACAGTGCAGCAGTAAGGGGTACAAGTATGTTTCCAAGCCTTTTATTAATCTGCCCTGTTCGCTGAACCAAGTACTCAGCAACTCTGCAAAGTTGTCTTGTACTAGTTTGATAATTTGTATGCAAATGGGTCTGTTACAAATTGGAAATGTACTTATTTCAAGAAAAGAGTAATATCTAACCTCCTCTTTTTTTTTTGTTGGTTTTTTTTTGTTTGTTTGTTTTGTTCTTTCTTTCATTAACTGGCTCTTTCTTGGGCCTTTGTTTTCTCTCATGTACCAGCATCTGTCCTTCAGGATCTGCCTAGGCAATCTTTTTGGTTTTCTTCCTTCAACAACATACGCATAGCATTTACTTCTCACTGTGCTAATATGAAAGCTTTTCCAGCAAAGCCCATTTAGATAGGATCTTGGATTATTGCATTTACATCCTGAAATTTCTCACCTGATTTACTTGAGTAGCCTTCAAAACGCAAGGAAAAGTGTAAATTAAAGTTAATTTGAAGGGGAGGGGAGCGGGCTTGTGTTAGGGGAAGGAAATATCTTGTGCAAGAGAAAGGATTAACTTGTGTGCATATGTAGGGGAAAGCTTTCTGAGCTGGCATTCCAAATATACTTCGGGACTTACTCATTGGGTCAATATTGTAATAATTAAGTACCAGTATTGGAAAAAAATATCAGAGTGACAGAGTATGCTGGATCTTCTCGGAGCAGTCCTCCTTAGGCTCTGAACGTGTGCCAGTAACAATTAGATTCACATCAAGGATTTCTTTCAGTTCTCACTTGTCTGGAAGTTTTGATACGCTAATTCGTCATCAGAAGGAAGCACTCCCTTCTAATGACAGAATATAGCAAATCTGAGGGCCAGGGTTCAGGAGTTCTCCACAATCATGTTTTTGATCTGACTTCAAGAGTATTTTCATGTTGTCAACGTTTTGGTTTTTCTTTTTGTCGTTGGGAACGTTTGGTTTTGGAGTGTGGACATGTAGCATGGATGTGTCTTTCTGTAGTGACACATGGGGTTCTAATTTGATCATTCCTGAATGCTTCATATTAAGAATATTAATACTTTGTCTCATTCCCAGATCATTGCTGCTTTTTCGACTTTCTTTTACAATTACTGTTTCTCAAAGTCACTTGCTAACCCATGAAAAATGTAATATAAACAAAGTCCTGGGACTGTCAGGCATGGTGAATTTCCATTGCCTTTTGACGTGGAATGTGTTGTGAAAAGCATTGGCTCTAGATCATAATTTTAGATAGGCACTTTAACCCAAATACAGTGAGTGGTTTCAAGTATGCAAATCAGTTCATCTTTTTGGTTTTCATGTTTTAGTATGGCTGGATACTTCTCCAAATCAAGATAATGGCTCTACAGTAACTCTCATATACAGTGTATTCACGTCCTTCATATTCTGAATATTTAAGGCTAGATCAACAAACTAGTGCTAGCATTGCAGTATTTAAGTGATCTTGCCACCCTTGGATTCCTTAACTTGTAGTTAAATACTAAGTCTTCTTGGGCAGTGAATAAGGAGCTTTAGGTATCTACAAGAATGTGGGTTATGAAAGCCTGCACACTGTGGAAAGCCACTTCAGCTAGTGAGTAAGCAGTACATAAGAGAGATCTCAGACCACAAAGGGGAACTTTCTCGGCTACACACATTATCCCAGTGTGAAGCCTGTAAACTAGATCAGCCCATTTTATTTTTTTTTTTAATGGAAAGGTAGAGGAAGAAAAAAGCATCAACTCTTACAGCCAAAATATTCACTTGGGATGTCATAGAATCATAGAATAGTTTGGCTTGGAAGGGACCTTTAAAGCTCATCTAGTCCAGCACCCCTGCAATAAGCAGGGACATCTTCAACTAGACCAGGTTGCTCAGAGCCCCGTCCAACCTGAGCTTGAATGTTTCCAGGGATAGGCCATCTACCACCTCTCTGGGCAACCTGGGCCAGTGTTTCACCACCCTCACAGTGAAGAACTTCTTCCTTATGTCTAGTCTAAATCTACCCTCTCTTAGTTTAAAACCATTACCGCTTCTCCTACTGCAAGAGGCCCTGCTAAAAAGTCCCTCCCCAGCTTTCTTGTAGGCCCCCTTTAGGTACTGGCAGGCTGCTGTAAGGTCTCCCCGGAGCCTTCTCTTCTCCAGGCTGAACAACCCCAACTCTCTCAGCCTGTCTTCACAGGAGAGGTGCTCCAGCCCCCTGATCATCTTCGTGGCCCTCCTCTGGACCCACTCCAACAGGTCTGTGTCCTTCTCATGTTGGGGACCCCAGATCTGGATGCAGTACTGCAGGTGGGGTCTCACCAGAGCAGAGCAGAGGGGGAGAATCCCCTCCCTCGACATGCCGGCCATGCTGCTTTTGATGCAGCCCAGGATACGGTTGGCTTTGTGGGCTGTGAGCGTGCATTGCTGGGTCACGTCCAGCTTTTCATCCACGGGTACCTCCAAGTCCTTCTCCGCAGGGCTGCTCTCAATCCCTACGTCCCCCAGCCTGTACTGATACTGAGGGTTGCCCTGATCCATGTGCAGGACCTTGCCTGCCAAAGCTGTTGTGTTATTTCCATAACTGTCTAAATAGTCAACAGACTTGAAGTTGACTTCCCTCCTATATCAACAAAGTTGTAGATTCAGTCTCCTTCATTCTTCTTCCCACCCTTGTCTTAATTAACATGTATGTTGTGATGTAAATGTAATGTGGCTTACAGAGTAAAAAAGGAAAACAAAAAAATCACATCTGACTTTTTGGTACTTCTATACATGAGGCTACAGGTATGTAGGAAATCTGAATTCTTGACCCTATTTGAAAGCAGGCCGGGTGAGTATTCTTATCTTCAGTACAAACACCTTTGAGGTGGACTTTTTGGATTTCATTGCTGACACTCGCAGGTATGTCGCACACTCTGCAGAGGTCCCCTATGTCTATATATTTATGAAGCCTGATCCAGTAAGTGTGAGACAAATCCTAGCTAATACAGGTTTTTGCCTGCAGCCTGAGTCCGACATGGGATGTGGGTATATGTTAGGTGGGACTTTGCTGTTTGGCCATGTTCATTTGGCCGGTCATGCTTACTGATGGAAAATCCAGTGCCCTTGCAATGTGCGTGTCAGTGGTGTTAGATGGCAGCTGAAAACTTCACCTGAACATCAAATTTAATTATAAAGTAGCAGATAGGTACTTGTAAAGTGAATCTAGCTGTTACAGGTTACACTTGATCTGGAGGAGCCAAGAGTGCTTATTGGAAGCTACAGTTCCCAGTCAGGAAGTGCACACAAGAGATGTCTGTAAGAGTGAGACAGAAGCATGTACCAGAGACTTCTCTGTCCTCGTTTGCACGGAAAGGAAAACTGGGCATGGGGCCTAGATGGAAGCTGCAGTGTGCTTCAACAGGTGCCTTGATCATTGCAGGAATTCAGAACATGCCATTGCATGTTGCAGCAGATATGTCCAGATGCAACGCCCTTCTTTTTTTTTTTTTTTTTTTTTTTTTGCATAATGCTGTTAGAAAACAAAAAAAATTCTTACAGGCATCTTGTGGGAGAGACAAAAGATGAGTGGGGTGTGATATATCTGCTTAATCTGCATAAATACATATTTTTAAAATTATTAGGTTGATTTTATAATAATAAGCTCCTATGTAGAGCTCATTCATTTCTAAAGATTAAGGTCTGTAATTTGTCCTATGGATAAGTGATCTGATTAACTTATATGTATGTTAACTTGAGCTTTGACATCACTATTTTAATATGAATTGTTGACTTCAATCAGACAGACCCAGTTTTATCACATGCAGAGCAATATAGTGTATAAATGTAAGCTTGTTCTTTTTATTGCTTCATTAGTTTTATAGTAATGTATACTAACAGGGCAGGTAGGTGCATGGTTTCCATGACTGGATTAGCAGTAAGGGTTTGTCTTGTTCTTTTTTTTCCTGAATGTCTTCATGTAGATCTTCTAATTCAGCTACCCACAGGATGAATGGGTAAACTGTCTGTTTTGTCTCGGGCCAAAGAAAATTTAAAGATCTGCCAGCAGTACTAAAAATCTTGGAAGAGGCTAACTATTTGACTGTACAAACTGTAACTTGTAGAAAGAATTTTCATCGGTCTATAGCAATGACAGTTGTCAGTCTCGGTATGGAGAAATTTGGGGTTTAGTATTTTAAAGTTTTGCCTTAGCTCTCTGGTAAAAAGAATAACATTGAGCAAATGGAGTGCATTGGCAGCATGAGATAGAAGAAGATTCATACTAACCCTTTCAGTTCTTCAGGACATGTGGATTACAACCAAAAAAGTAACACTTAAATGGCCTGTCTATGCTGTGACTTTTATGCCACTGATAAAAATAGGTCCACAGTCCACTCTGTGGCATGTAAGGAATCGTTGCTATCATCTGGATAACACAGAAATTAAGGCTTGAGTCTTTATTTGGACTTGGAAGAAAGTGACTCGGGAGAATAAGCTAAAACTCCCTAGTTTTTCATGGCTCAGCCCTCATGTAAGTTAATGTTGGGGAAAAAAAAAAAAGCATGGTTGTGTCCCAGGTGCTCTAGAGCTTAGTATAGCAGTTGAAGGTAAAATTAGCAATAAGTAATATCTGGCTGCTCTTATTATAAGTACTGTAAAGTAATTTAACGAAAAAGGGAAGCTGCCCCATAGTCTTTATATCTATATTAAAAAAAACTTGGTTAGAAAACATGTAGATATACGAGAAACGTTTGTCAGCGTGTGTGTGATATGCTGTTGCGGTTTCAGCCATAGCAGGCTTCCTTTACACCAATATATTTCTTTTAGCTATACTTGTGTAACTCTACCATAACCACATTTGTTGTTTTAGAGCAGCTAAAGACAAAAGTCTATAGTTTAATAATCTGTGTAAGTGATTGAAGGCTAAGGTTTGTAGATTGAAGGGTATCTAAGGTGAGCCTGTTTCTGTCCCATAGTGTGTGTGTGTGTATACCAAATGGTGTGTTGAAAATTGCTATGTTAGTGTGTAATTCCAGTGAATGCTTTTTATGCTACATAAAACTCCCTGCAAACCAAGAATGATGAAAGATTTCGTTTCAGTTTCAGAGATTTCGACATGAGTATTCTTTATAGTTCTGTGTCTTTGCTGGGGAAAGGGAATTTACAGTGTTTTTAATGCATATGTTTCATCTCATTTGTCATGAAACTTTGTATCTATCTACCTGTATAGGTAAATGTGTGTATACACACATATTTATGTATATATATGAAGGAAAGAAAGAATACATTCTCTTAGAGCCTTAGAAATAAATTAATTTATGAGCGATGTTACTTGTAATTGTAGATTGCAGTTTAGATGTAAAGGACATGGAACTTGATGAATCTTATGAAAAAACGTCTTAGATGTGGTCTGTTCCTTAAATAATTGACATAGCTTTCATTTACCATGCTGCCAGGAGGTATCTTTATATCTGCATTATATAATTCAGTTTCACTTTTACTGGTTATTTTTAATTAGCCATTCTTAATCCAGATCAAATACTATAACATATTTAATAGAATTTAAAACTTCTGGAGGGTAATATGCTTTCTACATTACTACAGAATGAATGACAGATTTCACATGCTTTAAGATTACAAATACAGCTATTTTGAATGCCAATGTTCAGTCTGGATGCTCTTGGAAATCTTTAAATATAGATGATTTCCAGGTTAATGGTTGGACATTCCTCCTTACTTTTTTCATTGAACTGGCACTTCAGAAAATCCCCTTGACCTTCTCTGTTCAGCAGCTTCAGATATACCTTGGCCATCTTTTTAGTTGCGTCGGCTCATCGTGGAGCTCTGTGCTTGATAAATGCATGGGCCAAATCCTGCTTGTAATCTTCTGTTTGATAGTTTTACTAGGGTTTAGTGGGGCTATTTGCGAAGTTTGTTAAAGAAAGAGCCCTATTTCTGACCCCCACACAAAAGTGACATTTCTCTGTATTTGCTTCTTAGAAGTGTGTATTCCTAGGTATATATAACAAAAAAAAAAAAGAAAGGGCTTTATGCAAGTAAATAATATTGCATATTAATAATACAGTGTTTGATCTAAGTGCTCAGTTAGATTTGACCTTAGAATTTACCATGTTCCAGATTTTAGAACATTCTGGTTTTTTACCTAAATACTTTAGTTCAGATTTAATCCTCTGTAAAGCTGCTTAATTTTCAACCATTTTTTTTTTCAAAATATAGTATTGCTCACATTGTTTATTATATGATATGATTATATCCTTGTTAATCCACATTCTGAATTACTGTTCACTGAAGTAACAGTAGATTATTGTCATGGTAATTAAGCATTTATGTGTTATTGTTTCATATTCATTATTGGGGGGAAGGGAGATTTTCTAATAATATAGCCAGAAATACAAAAAAAAATTTAGAACAGTTGTTATTTCTTTATAGAGTATTGTAGATGGAAAGAGCTTGGTAAGAATTTAGTGTTTTTCTTCTGATTATATTGTTCCTGTGAGCTTTAATCATAAACACCTGAATTAAAATGTGTTAAAATTTGTATCTGCTTATATTTTTATAAGTGTAGTATGAAATCTGAAATATCATTGCTCTTATTTTGATTTTGTAATTTGGTTTATTGCTGTTTTTCATATCCTAAAGAAACAAAAAAAACCCCATTCCTGTTAATATTACTGTCACTGTCATGATAGTTTGTTCTGATTCATTTTTGTTTGATAGAATTTTGTTTGGTAGAATTTTATGATGGATACTAAACTGTATTCTCTTAAAGGTGCTGTGTGTCCTTTAATGAAAACAGTTGTCCATCATCTCAAAAAAATCAACAGAGACAGTCTTGGTGTTTCAGGTAAATTACTGCGCTAATAGGGATATCTAAATTTATTGGCTAGTAGTGGATGTAATCGTAGTCCTGCTGAAGCTGGCTTTAAAACTGAAAGGACAGTACAGAATGCCACCCCCATGCTACAAAAGCTGTTGTTTTTAGGAAGGTGGGGTTAAAACCAGAACATGTTGTTCTTGGAAGGTATTGGTTCAAGGTCTGCATTTCTGCAGATGCTCATTTCTGTTGCTTTTCCCAAACTTCCTTCGTTCTTATCAGTTCAGATGGTAAAAGGAAATAACAAATGCATTTCTCAGGTTGCAAAGTCATCTACTGAGTGAATTTTGCAGATAGCTTCTTTGTTGGTAAAATGAATATTGGAAGTTCTCTGACTAAAAGTACTAGTTTTCAAAATGGCTTGTCAACGTGTACTCTAGAAAGTCACCAAGCATGCCAAAAGTCAGTATTTACCTCTGTTTTTTAAATTCCATTAAATAAACTAAATCGTTATATCATATTTCACAGGGTTTGATCTGGCAGAAAGCTTTTCTTTGAGGCAAACATCTTGTGGAGGGGAAAAAATCTGTTTTAAACTGGGAAGCGCACCTCTCGTCAGAGAGACAAAGTAAGTAAGATACTACTTTCATCCTAAATCTTTAAAAGACAGAGCTCAAACTAAATGCTACTAATGAACTGAAACACTGAGCAGTGTATACAAAGGATGCCACAAAGACAAGTCTGTCTGCTTTCAGGCATTTTCATCTGTAACAGTACTTTCTTTGGGAAGCTTTTTGATTCAGGTGAGTTTTTCTTCTGGAATCTGGTAGAAATTTAATTGTGAATATCTATTTCTCAATTTTTGATTCTGATACTGAAAACTCTGCTGTTTATACATAAATATTTATAAAACAAAGAACTTTCATGGTATGACAACAAGTGTTATTATAATCTTCCCTACATGAAATTGGCTGTCCTCTCTCTCATTACTGCTGGCAGGATTAAAAAGAGTGTGAGTGTGTCACCATTTCCTTATAATCTTTTTTTTTTAATTTGTCCCCCCCCCCCCCCCCGTGGAATTGGCACCTTGCCTTTGAGCAGCAACAGAATGGTGGGTACTCAGTACAGAGGTGAAACTAGGCAGCATCCTGTTCTGACACAGAGAGGGATGAAAGGCAGAGACTGCATGAAAAATCAAAAGGAAGGTGAAAGACAGTAAGGCACAATAGAATTGGATGGATTTCAGTTTGCACGGGGACAAGGAAATGGCAAGAAACAGTTAGGAATGTAGTTTCAAGTTCCCCATGCTCAGTGGAGAGAGAGAGGATCACCTCAGAGCTTCTTGGTTGAGATGTGCTCCAAGTCATGGGACTGTGGTTTCTGTACAACATGTTCCTGTGATGACGAGGGAAGCAACTACATTCCCGTGCCTTCAGGTTGAGTATTCTCTGTTGCAAGAGGTTTGGCTCCAGCTTGCCTAGGAAATAATACACCCAGCCCTCGGACTTCCCCTTTGCTTGGATGCTGGGCAGAGCAAAGAGGGGCTGTGGGCAGCATGCAGCTGGGGAGAGGGAGGAGAGATGAATTGGAGGCACCCAGACACAAAACTAAGTGATCTTTGGGAGAGGAGAATGATTAAAGAAATAGGACCTAAATATTCTAGATTACTAGATAGATTCTAAGATTTTCCGACATATTACATACTGTAAATGCTAAATTTTTATCCTGCAAAGTTAAACAAAGTAATTGCTGGGTTTTTTTAAATACCGTGGACGTTAGCTATTGAAGGAAAAATTACTAGATAAAATTACTTGACACACAGAGAGTGCTCTATTTTTATTAGGGCCTTCTCAGTATTATCAAGATTGTCTTTAGAAGAGGAACAGGTAAAATTAGGTGCCAACCATACATGTCTATACTAAAAATATTTTGGAAGTTTGATAATAAGAAAACTTTTTTTTTAAAATCCATTATTCATTTTTCAGAATTTTATGGATTTTTTTCAATGGATGGGAATCTGAGGGAAACGTGAGACTACAGAAGAGTAGACAATCAAGGCAATAACAAAAAAATGTGGGGCAATTTTCCTCTAGGAATAAGAAGCTAAGTAATGCTTTGTATGCAGTGAAATACATATTGCAAGCTGACTTAATTTATTCTGAAACTAAAAAAATCCGTGGCAAAAATGGAGTGAGAGGAGCTAGAAATTGGAGAAGGGTGAATTATTTAAAATTCATATTTGAGGGAAAATTCATGATTCGAAGGGATTGATTTCTAGGAATTTGGTGGTATTGCAAGGGGTCTGACAGGTGATGTTGAAAAATGTAAAGCTTTTTTCCTAGCTTTTACTAGTAGGCCTGAATACTAATGTCTGTGTTTCATTTTCTTCTTTTAAAACCAGTTCATTAGTGAAGGCAGTGAAAATGGGGAATTCACATCATGGCTGATAGCTGTGGCTTCGCAAAGCCTTAACTCTTAGCAGTTGCAAGGAAAATAATTGAGAAAGACAAAATACATTTTTTTTTTTTTTTTTTTTTTTTTTTTAACTTTCTTTATGGAGTGGGAGAGAAATCTGATATCTTTTTCTGTATTTTATCTGTTCAGGTTTTGGGGGGGAGGATGACTCTTTGAGACAAAAATGGCTAGTTTTTCATCATTTTCCACGTAACTTGGGCAGGGGATAAAGAATTTCAGGAAAGGGTAAACCTGGAAGGCAGGTGGTTTGGCTTTAACGGTCTCTTGCTTCTCACGTTCCTCTCCCTCCCTGTTGTTTTCTTCTGTGTGTCCTCATTAAAGAATTAAAGAGAAAATCTGTCTGGTTTCCCCTAAAAATATGCGTATCTAATGGATGAAAACTAGCTGGATGAAGCAACTGAGATGATTATTAATAAAATGCGTAACAGTGCTAATATATAAGTATAGTTAGGCTGAAAATTAATATCACGTTATTGATGTTAATAAGGTACAAGATAAGTTTTTTTCAGTCGGCTTGCTGTGGAAGTAAGTAGTACCTCTTACTGGTACTCCCTCCTGAACAAAATATATCTTCCTGAACAAAAAAAAGGGTTAAGTTGTTTTCAATAACATTCAAGCATTGCAGAATTTCCATTAAATCCTAGTTCTTCATGGCAATAGTCTTGCTCATGCTTTTTGAACCTTTCTTCATAGAGAAATGCACGTCGTAATTAAGAATAGAATTTACTTTTTTTATTCACTATGATGAATATGTAATAGCTTTCTGTTGTCAAGATAACACTTCAGACAAAATTTTTTAAAATTATTTGTTTAAAGTATTTTTGATACTCTTTTGAACTTCTGAGTTAGTTTTTAAAAATAAGGACAGAGGGCAGTCAGGAGCACAAAGTCAGGTTTTGACGCGGTGGGGTTACAGTGAAGGATAGTCAAGAACTCAGGTATCCGTCATCATAACCTTATAATTTACTTTACCTCAGTTATCCATGTACAATGTCTTGTAACTTATTATTTTTATGTAAATCTCCTTCTCTTACGTTACGTCAGGTTGTGTGGTTCCAGACCCCTTGTGTTATTAGATGCACAGAGGTTTTTAGGATCATTCTGCCACAGAAAATATTTTAGTAGACGTGGTGTGCAGTAAGCAGCAGAACAGTGTTTGTTATCCATCCTGCAGGAAACTGAGAGTATCTGATTAAGCTGACTAGCAAGTATCAAGTAACTTGGCACATCTCCTCTTGCATTTCATTCATTCAGTTGTAGTGTGGGTAATAGAAAGCTATGCTGTGCCATTTTTCTTGTGTGATGCCATTTTGGTTTTTTTCAATGGACCTGGAGTAGTGTTGCACCTATTTATATGTTGTAAATAATTTACAATGCAGTGTCAGCTTGGAAAATTGATTATGTCTATTTACGCTGGATTTCAGTTATATCTCTTACCTTTATCTCTTCTTGTGGGGTGTTCTGTAGGTATTTTGTCTTGTGATAGGAGATGGATAATTTTTCTTATACTCCATGTAAATGACTATTAAATATTAATTCAATTCTAATAATATTTTCAGGATTAAAGAGTGATTTTTAAATTAAAAAACTGTGAGTTACTTATTGCAATTCTTATATGGACATTAATAGAAGTTATTCCTAGATAAAGTAGTATAACTGAGCCTTTGAATCCTAAAGAAATTCACAGTAAAATACCATCATGCAGACAATCTAATTATATAGTCATAATAATAGTAATTGTATAATGTTTTAATTTTATTTCAATAAATACATTATGGAGTCATCTTTTGTTCTCTAGAGTTTAACGCGTACTGCCTATGCAGTGTATTCCAGTTTGGCATAGAGTTTGCTGGCAAAAGCAGCGCAGGGCTCTGTGCTGATAGCAACTCCTTTAGGTCTGCCAGCAGTATTCAGTACTTCTGGACATGAGGCCTTGTAGGCTAATCTTTGTTCTTTAGTTGCCTTAGAGTAAATAGCACTATGATGAAATAATTTCACTGTCCTTGTGTGAAGATGCATCAGGTGTCAGTTGTTTCTTCATTCTCACTTTTCTGGGTTGTTGGTGGGCCATTTTTTTCGCTCCTTTGAAAGCACCAATAAAGGAGATAGTAAGTTGATTTCAGCTGAGTTTCAGAATGGTTTTGAAATGGATGTTTATGATTAGCAAATCTTAATGGCACAGTCATGGCTTTCTTATTTTGTAGTTTATTTGGCTTGACAAACCGTATTAATTTATTGAGGAGATTATTGTAGCTGGCTGTTAAATGATCTCAGAGTTATAGCAGTTGGGATTCGTCTCATGGCTTTTTTGGGAATTCTTCCCCTTTCAGTGTAAGATACTGCAAAAGAACTTGGGTTTTGACTGTATTTGGACTACTGAGCTCCATCAGCAATGTTATCACTCACTGCTGCCAGAAGAGCTGTGGCTGTGGCTTGGGCCATATTTCAGAGAAAGTGTTTCATCTTCTTGTGAAGTCTAGTTACAGGATGCAGAAATACTGTTCCCGTTTCTGTCAGTATATTCCAGGCTGGAGGATTCTTTCTGCTAAGAACAGAAATCAATGATGAAAGGATCTTTATGTGGGTTTTTTTGTTTGTTTTTAATGCTAACCTTTTTAATCACAAAAAATGCATAGGGAATTGCATTTCCTGGGGCATAGGTGGCATCAAGCGAGGCAGTTTCTGTGCTCACCATTAGAAGCCTTTTCATAGCTAGCACTTTGCTCCCCAAAGGCACCTATCTCTGGGTGGCTTTGCAACCATTTACTTTGCCGTATGTTCTTTGGTTGTATCTGCTGAGACTTCTTTCTTCACCAAAATAATACTGAGTTCCTTGCATGTGACTTCAGCTGTCAGTGAATGTCCACGTGGGCATCATTTTTGATTAGTTTTGCCCGTGGCATGTGTTTTGGACAGCAGTCGGGTTCAGCAGTCTTCTTGAAAAATATTATTAAGATATATATTAAGAAATAGTATACCTATTTCTAAAGTACAGTATAGAATGGATAGATATGAAAATCACCGGTTTCCAAAAGCTCGCATTGAAAACTTTTAAAACATCTACTGAAATGGCAATGAGGTGGCACCCCTGTTTGGAGGCAAGTAGTTACAGTTATGCTAACCAGCTTTCAACTGTGCTTACACGAAGTCCTG